TTAAAAATCCAGCCGTCCAGGTCCTGGGAAGATATGTTATTCCACATTGCTGAGAGTATATATGGGTATATTAAGATTGCTAGAAACATTCCAAAAACAAAAGAAATAATCGTGCGCCACCTTGTGGCGCACGCCGTCCGTTATGGGTTAAGGCTCTGACGAAGGCGAAGTTGCCGAAACGTTGGCCTAATAAAGTTAACTAATCTTGCACGGCTACAATCAAGCACTCATCTGATCAAATTATTTTCCTATTATCTACAGTTTCTCACAGTGTTATACCGTTGCAAGCTGGGACGCATTCGTAGGGCAGGAGCTGATAGAGAGAGCAGGCTTCCGTTGAGACTTTAGCACCTTCGATAACGTACTGGTTTGCTGACGACTTATTCGAAAGATCCTGCAAGCACCACTTGTCTGTACTGATTTTTGTAGACGTTCGAGACTGGAACCAGTGCTACGGAGATGCTATTCTCACTGTGAACTCGCTGTGTACAGCACTCAGCCTTTTCTTCGAAGGCATGATGATAGCATTTGAAAAAGGTGTACTATATCCGGTTCAAGTAACCTGTTCGCTTCTCTTTAAAGTCAGTCATACTGAACTGAGCGACTCCAGGATCAACACGCTCGATTTTCCGAGATGTTGTCTCAATTACAGAATCCAACGAAACGCGTACAAGATGTTGCATCGCCTGTTGATGAGACAGTCCTGAGTTCAGGCATAAACATTTCGAAAATAAAATTATGCATAAAAATTTCAGGACGACGCCTCTGTCCTGCTGAAAGGATGCCATGCATCGAAGATGTCGAAGAATGTGTTACTTTGGTCACAAACTTAATGTTGTGACGGCTTGACTACAGAGCTAAGGAAACGCTGCAATGCTAAATGGGCTGCCTCCGACTTCGTAGGTGCTGCATAGGATACCAAAGAATTCGAAGAAGAAAGGATTTGTAGGAGAACGCAAGCTGCAAGAAGAACTTTTTGGTTCAATCGCTACCTGCCTTAGCCACGAGAAACTTTGGCCCAAAGGAAGTCGTTGGAAAGGCAGTATAAATCCGTTGAAGCATCTATCGAGCGGCGTGTTGTGGGTCTAAGAATGACCCAGCAGCGAAAGGGCAATTCGAAGTGTATTCAGCCAAAATTCGAAAATTCACGCCGCACCATCCTATATCGCCGCAGAACTGTGCTGTGCGCGCAACGCGTGCGGCGCCAACTGGTGGTGAAAATTCATGCATTCAGAGAAGGGTTTCAAATCGCGCAAAGTTTTCAGTTCAATTCTATTTGAGTTTGTCATTAACATTCATATAAAAGATGATAGTAGGACAAAATAGAAACTTCATGAGTGGCAGTTTGTGTTTTGAATTTAATGAAAAATTCAATAATTTCCAGGGCATTTGCAACGAAATTGATAGTTCTGATTTTGTCATGATCATTTTTTGGACAACATTCTACTGTTATTTATCTACACCTAGCTTCTAAGCTTTCAGCATTCTTGAAGTTGTCGCGTGATATTCATCTCTTTTAGCTAAAATATGCCCGAACTAGACGATTGAAAGGAGAAGTCGGCGTGCTTGCAAAATCGCTGGCACGCGCGGCTAAAAATGCCACAACTTGCGATGTCGTCAACGTGTTGATTGCAACGCTTTTCTTTCCAAAACCTTCGCTGTTCATGAAGAAATCTGCCGAAATGACTAACCATGGGAAGTGGTCGAAGAAATGTGCCACCAAATTGAAGAACAATGAAAATAAAGAGCGAGGAAAAAATAGCAAACAACTGAAAAATAATAAAATAAGCATCCGAGATGTTAATAAAAAACAAGGATAATGAAAACAAAGAATTCAAAAGCGGCGTAAGGGTCGGAAAGCAAGATCACCTGGGTCTTTGTTCCGGCTGACGCGTTCACCATCGTTCTAGCAAGGGAACACGAATTTGGGTATACTGGAAAAAGACTAGCAATTGACGACGTGAACCCAATAGCATAAACCTCCTAAATGCAACAAAAACATCTGTAATGATTTCTCTACTCCTACCAATTACACGAGTGGTGTTAGCGTGTGACACGGCTACTTTAACACGTTGACGACATTGTGCAGCGCATGCGCATCACACCTTGAGCACCGTGTGGGACCGTGTGCAGCGCATGCGCTGCACACACAAAATATTTATTTTTTTCGCGTATGCGCTACTTCTTTTCTTCTTTCTAATTTTTTTGCATCTATTTCTAATTTTTTGCAAAAAATTAGATAAGAAACACTGCACCATAATATGACTAGACACGGCGAGGTTCATTGAATGGTTGAATATGCTCCTTTTTAGCGAAGGTTTTCTAAGCCCTACGAATTTCCCAATTGTGTTCATTCCTAGTTTCCTTTATATTCTGATAATCTTGGTCATAAAAAAGAGCAGTAGAAGTAAGTACAGACCCACACATATAGCAAGACATATGTTTTTAGTGGAGCAACCGCGTCAAAAATAATTTTGAGGTTCACTGCAGCAAAAGCAACTGAAACTTGCCTTTCATCGCCAGAAAACGTCAATTAGATCGATTTTTCACAGCTTGTCCCTTCTGATAAGTTTGACACATCGAATATCATTCTAAACATTTTGTTGCATCCGAGTTTTGGGTATTTAAAGCTCAAAATTCACGGATTTGATGTGAGGCGGCGGCGCCTGCAAAATCGCCGTGGTCCCACGCGGCGCAAAAACCCAAAACGCGCGTTGTCGTCAACGTGTTAAATGAGAAACTTGTAACTAGCAAGCGTCAGCCATGATAATGGAGAAAATTTTGAGATTGGACTTCCCTAATAAGCTTCCATTTTCAAATTTTTCAACACGATCCTTCTTCAAAGGTCGGTGGAGGTGTCCATAGTGTCGTTGGACTGCTTACTGGACCTGGGATCCACTTCAACTACACCAATTCCGCGCAAACGCCAATAGCGTGGGGAGGAGAACTCAATTAGGAATTTCATTCACTTCACGAATTCTGATTAAGGCACAGCAGAACCGCATTCCCTTCTCTGGCGACGTCTAAACCTCGAATGATGAAGCGTTTCATTGAATACGGCACATCGGACGGACGGTTTACCCTAGTTGGAGATCAGTAAACAGTGCAGTAGTACTGAATGACCCCCACCAATTCTTATACAAAAAAGATTTGAGCATTTTTGGAGAGAAGCCCAATAAAAACACCCAAAAGTCTTCGGCACGTCATTTTGCGGCAATTTGTTATACGATACATACTGCTAAAAAGGATAGAGCAGCTTGACCGATCCACGTTTTCTGACTTTGACGTGAACATTGCAACTCAGTTTACATTTTTAGTGCCACTGTAGAGATCAAACCTGTTTACTATCAATCGAGTAGTTATTCTGTTTAGCTAACAATTTTGCCATCGAAATATGAACTGCTACGATAACAATGGCAATGGGAACAGCTTCTTTAATGAGATGTGGTAAAATCGCGAAGCGGGGAAGCGATGGTAGCGGCAACCTGCAATCAGCAGCTATTCAGAACAAAGAAAAATGTGACCTAAACAACAAATAAAAAGGTTAGGATTCAGCAAAAACATAGAAATTAAAATTAGAATTTTTTTAGGGGGATAATCAAAGAATTACTTATAAATAACAAATACCCCGTCGGAATATCTCCAACAATTCGCACTTCGAACTTCTTTTCAAAGTGAAGAAGCCATGAAACAAGCGCACCAAATATCACCTGAAACATTATGTAAAATGAAAGAATTCTAACTTAATAGATCCGGCGATGACAAACTCCGATGAGTGGGTGTGAGCCAAGCTCCCAAAAAGACCAAGGGTCTATCGTCGTATAACTAAAATACGCAGCACGGAAGTCACAGCCGTGACTTTGAAGGGTCCGGATCTCTAATTTAAACTAGTAAGGCATTGTGGTGTAAATACATAAACTGCTCTAGTCTCTATTCTGCTCAAGAAGTCCTTGAAAGTTATAAACTGCAAGCGGCTTCATTCCTGCCATTTCTGCAATTGTTCTTGGATCTTGAACAATTTTTGAGCTGAATGATACAATCTTCTCAAGAAAGAGTAGGGTTCACACCGATTGTGAAATGAGCAGTAATATTTTTGTTGTCCCATAACTCCTGCCCGAGTTTCGACAATTTCTTCTCATCGAGTTTTATCTTCCTCTAAAACCAATTGGTTAGAAATATAAACATTATCATAATCATCGACATGCATCCATTCGCCAGGTAACCTTTGGATGCTATCCTCCTAGGATGGGTGAAGCTATGACCTGGGGAATTCAGCAAGGTCGTTTTTGGAGTGGAAATTAGAAAGGAAAGCGAAAAGGAAAAATGAAATTTGAATTTGATTAGAAATCGGACTGGAATTATGGAACAAGATGCCAATATTATATGCCGAGGCGCTAGCAAATACCGCTGCCAAGATATACTATCGATAAAAATGAAATGACATCGCACAAATATAGATAGACGTGTGATATTGTTGGCTACAGCGCCTACTCTCAGCGTTTAGCGTCATATCGGCCTATGTATATTAAATGTCATACCTGATAAATAATTTTAAGTACGCTTCTCAGCGCCTCGACTCCGATGCTTCTAACAACGATAGTGAGGTAATTGCTGCGTTGTACAATATTATAAATTCTGTGTATCTCAGAAAAAAAACTCTCTGTCCAGCGAACTCCGCTTAGAAGTTATTCAGTGAACTGATCATGACTGTAATATTCTATTCTGACATTGGCACCATCTACTGCCAGTTCGCGCCAACATGTTGCCACGTCACACATGGCTGAAAATTTTGGCCAGGGTAGTTCTAGTCGATCTGATCGCTAAATGGTGGTGTCTTGATATGCTGGCCGCTTGCTTTCCAATCTGATGGATTGACTTTCAAACTGTTAGCAGACCACAAATTCGTCAATGAGCCGATTTTGATTTCAAGGAGTGGATCACTTTATATAGGTTTAGGTTGGGTAGAGTCATTTCTTTGCGAAAAGATACAATTGTTATAATTGACATCCATGACCACAGTTCCTAGGGATCTCTTCTTGCCGGATCTTCACGACGACTTCCACGCTTTCATCGATAAAACTCAATGGAGGGCGGCCGAAAGCATATACAGCTTCAAGTCATTGCACGTACAGGAAACGGAACCTTTGCGCAGAAATTCCCAAATGTTAACGTTGGAGCTCGGCCGGAAAGTTGAATGCGATTCTGCGATTTTTTTTTTTTGACAGCCTGAACAACGAATTTTTTTATGAAACAGCAGGACGTTTGAGATTGCCGCACCTTGAAACCTATATGTTTCCTTTAGATCCTCGCTGAAGTGTGGGCTGTCTATTTGCCAAACGATAACCCCCAAATCCTTACTTGACTTTTACTATCATATGAGCAGTTCAAGCGAGTTTTGAGTTGTTCTAAACTCTTATTCAACTTCCAGTCATCTTTTTGATCATTTCTCTTCTAAATGATTCTCTGCACCCATGAGATGTTGATTTCTCCTTCTCTTACGGGAACACTTTAAACATGTTAACACCGAACATAATCTCCTTTGTTCCTTTGCTTAACCATTGTCCAGACGGCTGGTACAGAAACTGCCATCCTCGAAAAGAAGGGCGAGTTCCTTATTGAGCTTCCTGCTAGATGATTAGTTGCGTTGCGCGAATTGAGGCAGCTTTCTCGTCGCAACTTGAATGCATGTTTATTTTTCTATTTTTCCAATATTTAAAACGTAGAAACATGCATAAATTTCTTGTAGAATGTGTGAAGCGGAGCACAATACTACGCGCGTAATTTTTCGCCACCCTGTAATTTGAAAGCTATAAATATACGTTTATGTACGTTACGTACGTTTATGGCAAGACTCACCGCGAGTAATTCAAATGGAATGGGAACAGGGGAGCGCGCTAAAACTCGAGGATTAATAAACTTCTTTCTTGCCAATATACAGTACTACCATAGCCATAGCCACAATTGACACCAGGATAGTAGTAAGATTCGTCCTGTAGATTTCAACCGCGATATCGAAGACACGCTAAAGTAGAGATAGTTAGATATAAGCGTTACAGTTTCACTTCAACTTCAGCTGTGAAAAAGGATTATGTGAGTAGGGGGACAATCGTTAACTCCCTGCTTATAGTTGGGGCAATATTTTTGGTTTTGGTGACAGGATGTGACGTACACCGATAGAGTTCAAACCTACCACGTACCAACATCGCATTTCCTATACCATCACGTCTTGGTGTGCCGTAAATCCCTGTGATGTCTTTCAATTGAGTCACGAACACATGCACAGCGGCACCAGTAGTAAAGCCGGCGACAATCTGTTCGGAGAAGTACGTTGTGAGAAAATCAAGCCCAAGCACGGCTATCATAAGCTGAAGTACTGCTCTTACTTGGATGCTGAACCGGAATATCAGGTGCTTTGCGTTGATAAGGTATTCACCTGGACTAGTCCGATAGCTAAGGTGAGAGCAGAAGCCACTTCGATAGCTTGGAAGCTGGGCTCAGTTGCTGCAGACGTATTCGACACCATCGTACTTATGTTCTCAGATTTGTGGGAAAGCCGATAAACAGTTCGTCCGGACATTAAAGCAACGACGGCAAAAGAGCCTGGGAACAGAAGAAGAGTGAGAAAGCAAATAACTCGATTTAATTGGCCCAAACATCCGAGGTTCTGCAGAATCAAAAATGACCTGATGAAAAATGGACCGTAAGAGCCTTTCCTTGAGTTCAGGCGAGGGAAAGAAATTTGGGAAGCGTTTGAATACTGCTGCAGGGTGATGTAGAGAAGAGCTCAAAAGTCTTTTGCCAAATTCTTTAGAATCCAACAGAACAAGCGACTGCATGGTAAATAATGTTATGTTGAATAAACGTTGGTGATAATTTTAAGGGTAGCTGAAACCTTAACAGGGCCCAGATATGGAATCAGTTGCCATGCCGACGTTACAATGCCCGATGCTGCCTGAAATGACTGCCGCGGATGCGCGTCAGACACCTTGAGGCCGCATCATACATTCTGACGCACATGCGCACCAGCCGTTTCGTTTCCATTTTGTAACACATGCCAAAGTTCTTCTTTTTCTTGGTAGTATTCTTCAGAAAATACGCTACCATGAATATAAATGGTGTGGTCCATAGAGGAGTTGAAATATCCTTTAGGTTCTCTAAACCAGACCAAGTTTTCTATTTATTTTGATCCTTGACTTCTATTTTGAAGTAAACAAGCAAATAAAAAAACATTAAACAACAATAAGATACAATAACGTTAAGGAGTC